AAAATGATGAAATACCTGTTATAAAACTAAAATGTCAGTTTAAATTTTTAACAACATAAAAAATACCTTAAAAGTAAAATAATAACACTGAATTCATGTAAACATTGCAGTATATATTTATACCAATATGTAATTTATGCTTTGAGAGAACAATGAATGTAGATGTATGATTTATCTGTGATTCAATGTATATGAATGTAAATAGGAAGGGAATAATGTATTTATACAAAAATTATGGTGTTGGCCTGCGGTAATTGAACAAATTTTCACTTGGCCCATATATAAAAAATATTTTGTAACAGACTGCTATTTAACAAATTATTCTTTGATTACTCATACAGGGACCAAGCTCATCATAGCAACATTAGAGAATTACTAAATTATTCAGATTTACTTACTTTATTAAAATTAAACATTTGTTATATTCGCTACTAAAATTTTAATTGTATTTAATCTGTTTGCTATTAGATAAGTGTAACATGTGTACAATATTTGTATTTGAATCTGATTTAATTAGATATCATACAAACTGAAATACTATTTTCAAATTAAAAAAGAATTACATAATGCAGACTATAAATAAACAAGTATTAGATACGTGTATACAGGGTAATCAGAGTAAACGTGTTAATCTATAAATGCTTATATTTCGGGAACAACGCATTTAGAAACACTAATCTGGAAATGCTTAGGGCTGTACAAAATAACTACGTATTCATGTGTCTGATATTCCGGGCTATTACGTTTCATCATTATATTTTCACATTTTTCCATAAAATCATATAATATATGGGGTCCTTAAACACGTCTCATAATGCTCTATCATTCTATAAAAAAAAATATACTACCTGCCATTTAAAAAAGTACAACTGACCTGCAAATGATCTTAAAACCTCCACTAAGTGAATTTTCACCTACACGCTTTAGTTTCCCCTGTCATCTCCTCTAATCTCTCAATAGCAAGTTTCCCAATTTAACGTACTTTCCGAAATATAAGAATTTATCGATTAAAATCGCTCATCCCGTATATAGGTAATCCTTTTTTAATGTATTGGGTCACTTCATAAGTAATGCGGTACTTTCCATTTTTGGAAAAAGAGGATCGTGTATAACAATGTTATGCGTCGCAGACAATCGGTTGTCAGCAATGAGACACCAATTCCACAGCCAAGGCAAGTATTCCATTCGAAGAAAATCTTGCTCCTTGTTTGGTGGAACATGGATGAAATTATTTACTGTGAGCTGTTGACGCCCAATCCAACCATTACGAAGGACCTGCACTGCCAACAGTTGGGCAGACTAAAGAAATGTTTTGAGGGAAAAAAAAACCAAGCTGATAAAAAAGGAGTCATTTTTCCTCCTCATACAACAAAAAATACGCTCCAAAAACTGAGACAATATGATTAGAAATAATATTTTTAATCAGACTATCATTTTTTCGGAGTCTTCAAAAATCATTTAGACGGGCAATGATTCAACACAGAAGACGATGTTCGAATGGAGCTTGAAATCAAAGAAAATTTATCAATCGAAATTTATTAATGGGAATTGAAAATTTAAGATTACGATAGGGAAAAGTTATAAACAATAATGGAAACTATAGTTCCGGTTGAAATTAAAACAATCTCCCCAAAAATATCACATTGCTTATGGGATGACCCAATAAAACTAGTAAATGATAAATGGCCGAAACGATAATACAAGTGATAAGGAATCGATTCCTCATGCAAGAGTAAATCAAAAGTGCAAAATAAAATTGCTTTATCTGAAGCTTGGGTTTTCAGAAAATTGATTTTCAAAGTTTCATGCGCATTTAGCTAAAATATGGTTCGTTAAGTGGCGTTATAAGTTGATACGTTAATACGAAATATTAATTACGCCACTTCAACAAGGCTTAAAGAGCCAAAATAAGAAGAATTGGTGAGAATGCATGCATTCTTAATTTGACAAGTACAAATTTGCATGCAACAACGGTAAAATGAAGTTTTAATAAAATAAAACAGCTGACGAAATGCTTGTAATTAGTTGTGAAAATCATGTAGACGTTGTGTACATATACGATAGCCTGATATTGCTTTACGAAACGTATTTTAAATAAGTGCACACGTATCTAAATTTTCAAAACCGTTTTCCTCCAAAACTAAGGTGTAGATGAAACAATTTAATTCCACATCTTTGATTTATTTTTGCACAAGGAATTAACTCTTTTAAGCTGCATCGCTATTTCGGCCGCACTGTATATGGTGTGAGTCACCTAAGATTAAGACCTAAAATATCTCCGCTGCTTTTAACGGCACAAGAAAATGTGTGAAACAGAAGGTATTCGTTTCAAGGGAACAAACATTGTTACAAAGAATATTTTTTCTCAAGATCAAATTTTCCGAGATTGCAAGGTCATCCAAATTTTTTTAAATGGAATCATATTTTCATTATTGTAATACTGTAGCCTGCAGTAATAAATTCGTTCATATACAGGGTGTCCCGTAACTCCTCGAACACCCGGAAATGGGGGGTTGCTGGGGTGACTCTGAACAACTTTTTCCTTTACCAAAATGTTGGTGGAAGCTTCGTTTTTGAATTATTAACGAAAAACACTGGCTAATCAGAGCGCGAGTAGAGCCCACGCCCAGGCACGGGAGCGCAGGGACTAATCCCCGCGCGATCGTGAACAAGCGCGTACGCGTGACTTCTGGGTTATCGGTCTCTGTCACAAAAATTTGACTTTGCACCGGAATGACGGCAACAAACCATTTCTCTAAGCCTTATAAAAATAGCGGTGCAAAGTCACATTTTTTTGACAGCAACCGATAATCGAGAAGTCGCGCGTACTCGTTTGTTCAGGATCGCGCGCGGATGAGTCGCTGCGCTCCCGTCACTGAGCGCGGACTCTACGCGCGCTCTGATTAGCCAGTGTTTTTCGTTAATAATTCAAAAACGAAGCTTCAACCAACATTTTTGTAAAGAAAAAAGTTGTTCAGAGTCACCTCAGCAACCCCCCATTTCCGGGTGTTCGAGGAGTTTACGGGACACCCTGTATAATGTATAGACCCCCAAGTGATCTTGAAATTACAAACTTTGATACTTTGCGGACCTCTTTGAATTGTAATCTACTTGGAAGGAAAACATTCAACCATACATGTACTGCTGTCGCTCCAGATTTCAAAGTCATTTGAATGTCAACATGAAGCATGTTGCATAATGAAAGTAACAGGACGGACAAAGTCGAATATCTCAGGCACGGTGAATTTTAGGATAAATAATGCTTTTATACCCAGAATTTGCTATTCTATCGAATTTGACTATAAAAAATGGAACATTCCATTTAAAAGAAATAAAATTGACCTCTGGATCTCCTCTATGCATCCACCTGTAAAGAAACTATCGCCATATGTTATATCTTTTTTGTAATCATACAACGTTTACAAGTAATGTTTCCCCTTATTACTTGAAATAATAGAGATATTTAAGGTGGACAGAGTTAGTAGGACACCCTGTATACTACATAGACGATGCAATGTGTGCACATCAAGAGATATTATGTTATTAATATTTAAATATGACATAATTTAATAATTACTGGATATAAACATTATGTTTGCAATCTTCTTTATGAATGATCAATGTACTTACTGATTATATTTGATTTTTTCCAAATAAATGTAAAATTACACAAAGTTTTTTGTACGTACAAACTGTATAATTTCAATTCTAAACTCATGAAACATTAAAATTACACGTGAAATAGTGAAGCAACATTTGGAGTAAAAATTTTGAAAAATATTTCTTCACATTGATTCGAATACAAGTTGTATTATTATTCTGAACAACTTCATCTATACAAAAATAATCCTCCCTATTTTCATATTTGCAAACGTTACAAAATTATATCAATGTTTTGCTTTTATTCAATTAAGACATATACTTTTGATAAAAACTGTTTTAATAGGAAAAAAGGTTTACACGTGTAAACTCGGATAAAAATAAGAGATAACACTTCAATTAGAAATATCAAACGTCTAAGGTATTTTGCAGAGTCTGTAATAATAAATTTCAACTTAAAACTGAATAATTTTCACTATTGTAATTTTTACTTTTAATTACCAATTTCCTCAATTTAATTCAAACGTTCAAATTTACCCCTTTTCACGTTCAATTTATATTTACATCTAACAAGGAGAATGCAAGACCTGTGGGTCGTTGATTTAGTTGAGAGTGTAAACGTTAGTAAATTTCGTCATTGTGTTCACGAAAATATCCCATTGTAGAGACAATTATTCAATACTTTCCAAAATATTCACAAATTTTAATACACGTAGGATATAATTAATTTGGATAAGAGGGCAAGCAACATAGTCGCGCAAAGGTAACGTGCCAATCTACCATATGAAAAATCGAGTTTCAATTCCCCGTACGTGTAATTTAAAAAAATTTTTTTTCCTGCTTTTTCTCGCTAATCTGTAAAAAATTATTACACATTTCATTTCATGGTGAATAAATTTTATTACAAATATATATTTTTATGAAACTTTCCATTTATTATTAATGTTTT